CCAATGTATATTGGATTACACAATACCACTATCTTATTACATAATTTGAGAATATTTCATAAATAGGAGCTGGGTCTAACTCATTAATGAGCAAATGGTTTTGTGAAACACATAAACAGCAAAGTTATTAGACTATATATATTTGGTCTCACATGACATCACCTAGTGGATGATAAATGGGATATAAGAACTTATTTATTACTAATAAAGGATTTATTTTTTAGAGTAAATCTCTTTAATCGCTATCAGCAGGAGGCATCACATCGGTGCCGTTGGTTGCTATTTCGTCAGGTCCGGGCGGTGGAGCGATCGGCGGAACGACAAGGTTATCCAGATCCAGCACGGGATCGGCATCCAGCATGTTCATCGCCTGCGTGAGCAACATTGATACGTGTGCGAGGTTTGGCACGTCATGAAGCTGCGATATGTTGTTGCTCAAATTAACAATATGAGACAAAATTCAAATAAAACACAAAAACAAAATGACTTATTTTAATAAACATTAGGACACGTAATCAAATTATGTCAAACAAAAATAAAAATCATATCTTTATAAAATTTATATAATTGTGGCTGGCTTACAAACCTGGTTTGTGCGAATCCACACTTCTTCGAGTTGCCCCCTAAACCTAGCCAAGGCTTCGCGGATGTCGTTTTTGATCCCATCGGCCATTGTAGCTTTTCTAGAAATTGGAGGATATGATCTTGATGATCTTTTTGGTTGCTTTTGCTAACAAATCTTGATTATCTTAATTATGAAGCTTGCGTGGTGAGAGATGTGTTAAGGGTATGATGTGATTATATAGCCAAAATTGTTTCCTCAAATGATCAAAGGCATTACGTTTAATTATGCCTTTGATCATTCTAGGAAACAATTTTTGTTACAACCGGTTTAGTGCTTAATCATCGAGTTATGTTTTCTTCTTGCTAATTAACCAATCTCATTTGTTAATTTCATTCATCCATATTTTTATTTTTTCCAACTTAATTAAGCTAGCGATTTAGTCATAATTTATTGAGAGAGACTTGTTCATGTTTTTGGCACGAACTCACTGTTAAAATTGTTGACAAGTTTAGTGGGCAGTCTCGGTTCCTCGTGCTTGGTTATCTTATTGGTATGGCTTTTTCGTAGTCTAGCCCGCGACAAGCATCTAATACAACTTTTCTGTGACAAGTTTACCTTGAGCTTCAAGAAACCACTCCTCATTGAAAGTCAGTAGCAGCCTAACTATTGGACAAGTTCCTTTCTTATTGCTTCAGTGACAATTAAGAATATATCATTCCAGTTTCAGTTTGGATAAATATTCGAGTTAGTTCAGTTTGAACTGCTCTACTGATTTCTTCGTATCCTGATTTGGTGGAGTAGAAATTGGCTCGGTTGGCCAATCCAGTGGTCTATCTATCGGTATATAATCGGTTTGAACTGGCTCGGTACTAGCCTGGGCTAGACCAGATGCAAGAAGAAGAAAATGTTTCATGATCTTGATCATCTTTTGTGTTGTGATTGAAAATGTTTAGCCTATATAGTTTGCTTATGTGTATATTATTAAATTTTGACTGATATTATAATAGAGAAGATAGTATAGCAATATAGTCATATTAGTTGAATGTTGATCCCCAAAAAAATATATTAGTTGAATATGCGTATATTGAATTTTTGTTAGGATTCCATATATACTTCGTATTTTAATCCCACGTATTAAAGAATATATTTTAATTAAGACGAACCAAACAAGTCAAATAAATTAATAAGATTGAAGGGTGTTATAGTATTAAAAAAATTTCTGCAACAATGAGAGCAAGGATCTAAAAAAAATGAGTACAAATTAAGGATAAGACGCATAAAGTCATAACTGAAGATTAATTTATATGATAAATTAAGTTTTTTTTTTGTTTTTGGATGCATTAAACATAAGTTGCACAACATGATAATTCATAAGGTGCATATATATATGTGTGTGTATCTGTTGGAACTTGGAACTAATCATTTAGTTCCTCTGCTTGCAGCTCTCTTGCTGTTTACCAAACTCTGCCAAGAACATTGCATTATTCATTCATTTTTTTTTCCTAGTTCTTCCTCTGAAACGGGTCTTTGAATCTTTGTCATAAGGTGGGATTGTACAAAGTTATAGTTCACAAATTCCAGCTTTTGAAGATCAATTTTGCTTCTTTTTTTTTTTTCCTAGTTGGTTTATTCATCAACTTGCGGTTTGAAAGATAGATCATTATGGCGCTTGAAATACGAACCATCCATATACACATACGAGAAGTGTTGATTATCCGCTGAATGATGAAGCAATATGCAAATTATAGTTTTCATGTTGTTGATGTGATGTGGTTGGACAAATCTTGTCTCTTGGGTAATTTGTGTTCAAAGAAGAATCAGCGAGACTTTATCTACTTAATTTAGTGAAATATTGCTGACAAGTTACAAAATAAAGACAACTTAGTGGAGTATTATGTATTTAATGAGAACATTACCTTGGATTATTAAAACAGTTAGTAAAAATAGTTGGGATATATAAGTGAGAAAAGTACATCTTGGAAGGTGAAATCTTGAGAAAATTAAGTACCAGTGAAACCCATTCAAAAAGATAGTATTAATTTTATTAGTCGAATTTTGCAAAAACATCAAAACAAAAAAAGTAAAAGAAATATAGTTACAAGAATTACAAGTTACAACCAAACAAAACATTGTAATGAGTCATACCTACTTTGTCTATGTCACGATTCGTGTGTTCCACTGTATATTCTTAAGAAAATCATTTACATATCAATGTTTACTCTTTTTAATGTTTATAAGTTTTATTTTCTTCCAATTCTTATCATTTGTTCCTCTTCGTGATAATACTAATCTATACATTAAAATGATCCATCCTTTAGCGAGAACCGAT